ACGTGTTATCGCTGCCCAAGATCGAGCTTCATTTAAGTAATTATAAAGATAAAAAATTATATTTCATGGTCGTGGTTTGCAAGTGTAAGTCTATAAAGTCAAGAGCCAAAGCCTTTAGCTTGTGTAAAACTAATTACATTTCAGAATTTTATGCCTTAAAGTACCAGGGCGTTGTTTCTGTTTCGTTACCTAGTCAGCTATTTCATATGTTAACGAATGTTTAACACAACTTTTTCCCGTTCCTATATGAAAACGTAATTTTTTGTACCTTCATGGCTTAATTACCAATTTTCCAACTTGCGCTATTTTCTTGCAAGTTGCTGATAACGTTTGCTTCCTTTCTGTCATGTTCTTCGCTGTTTGTGTTATGAATAACGATCGCTTATTCCATTATAGGCTTTTTTGGAGCGAGCGGAAAATCAATAAAACAAGAGACTGGCTAAACAGGACGGTTAAAATTGACCCAGACTTCGGCGATTCTTGGGCCTATTTTTATAAATTCGAGGTCCAGTATGGAACAGAGGTTCGTTTGCACTTTTTCTTCTTAAATAATTATAATGTAATCTCTTCTGAATAATCATATATTTTTCTGAATTTGAAGTGGCTATTTAGCGCAGAGGCGGAAATTCAGTATCAGGGGGGAGTGTCGGGGGGCAAAACCACTCAAAACAAGCAAATTTGCTGCAAAATGACAAATTTCGTCGGCAAGAGTCTTTGGCTATTCAGCGCCGAGGCAGAAATTCATTTTTAGGTAGGGGGGGGGGGGGGCTGGACCTCTATCCTTTGATTTAGTCTGATTGTTGCATTGTAACTCGACTTAGTTTGGTGATAATCATAATGGAAGGTTTCAATTTTGGAATGGGCGTGGCTACGAGCCACAAATTCTTATTTTGCAGCAAATTTGGTCCTTCTCTCGACATCCAGCCACACTTTAAATGTTATTAGGTGAAGTTGGCTATTCTGGGTGGCTTTTACGATTGCTGTCTTTCTATAAAAGTTGAATAGCGTATTATAAAGTTGCTATGCTGATTTGTTACTTAAATCTGTTTTTAGGCTGACCAGACCGGTGTTCTTGAAAGATGCGTTACTGCAGAACCCCATCATGGTGAAAATTGGTGTAAAGTTGCAAAGATGCCTGTCAACTGGAGGAAAAAGACCCGAGAGCTGCTGCCTCTTGTTGCCAAGACTCTGAAATCTGTAGAGAATCTCTAAAGATGGCGCATTGAATTTTTGCAAGCATGGTGGGATTTCCTTGCTTTTCAGTGCAGCAGCCAATCAGTTATATATAACTTGGATTGCTTTTGAACAGATGAAGGAAATCCGCACAAAACGCAAGCTTATTGCTGTCTGGATTTCAGCATGCAACTTTCTCATGGAAGGGCTAGCAGTCATTTTCAACAATGCAGGCTGCAAAGCGAAATGACTTTATATATCAAGCATACTTGCTGAAAACCGGAAAACAAAGGTACTTTCCAGAAACCATGATAATTCCTAGAAATGTATTGATGATAGCAAGCCTTCTTCCTAATTAATCAGCTCTTAGCACATAAGCCTACTTTCTGGTGCTTTATTTGTTAAAAATATCTTTATATAGTTGATGTCTTATTTTGTCTTTTTGTTCCCAACTGAGACAACAGATTTCAATCTCAACGACGTTTAGCATAAAGCCTTTAGATAGGTATTTTTTAAAGTAGCGAAAAGATTGAAGCCAAAGTAAGACAACCGTCTATAAACTGTTATTCATTTGGTTGAAAATTCTTCCCGCCAAAAATTAAGCCTCATACCTACAAAAATTGCGATAAACGTGAATATTTTTGCCGGGAATTACGACTATAGACTCGAAAATAAGTTATATTTTTGTGGACACCACTTTTTGCTAGACTAAAGACTTCAAAGGTGTCTTTTACTTTAAAACAATGTAAAAGTAGCCTCGACAAATTCTAATGTTTTTGGTTCAAAAATCTACCAAAAGTAAAGCCTTATTCCTTAGAAAAATTTGAAGTAAAAGTAAACAAGATTTCATGCCAAAAATTAGGATTATCGACATAGAAATTGTGAGATTAATTTAGACATATTATTTCAGAACACTAGCCGTGAAAAAAGGGCTTTTTGGATTGAAAATTCTTTCCACCAAAATGAAGCTGAAAACCTTAGAGAAAAAATTTGCAATTAGAATTAGAATATTTATTGCCAAAAATAAAGACTATTGACTTGCTAAAGGCGCATTTTACATACAAAGAATGTTTTTGAAAGAACATATGAAAGTGGTCTTAACAATAACTCAGCAGATCCCATCAATAATATAACCTAATATCTTAATAAAATTCGCTTTTGGGCTGAAAGATTTTCCCTTCAAAATCAAAGCCTAATACCTTAAAAATGCTTGCATTTTTTGGTTGAAAATTTTTCCCATCAAAAACAAAGACTAACACCTTGAAAAATTTGGATTTTTGGGGAAAATTTTCTCATCAAAAACAAAGCCTAATACCTTAAAAAATTTGGATTTTTGGGTAAAATTTTTCCCATCAAAAACAAAGCCTAATACCTTAGAAAATTTGGATTTTTGGGTAAAAAATTTCCAATCAAAAGCAAAGCCTAATAGCTTAGAAAATTCGGATTTTTGGGTAAAAAATTTCCAATCAAAAACAAAGCCTAATACCTTAGAAAATTTGGATTTTTGGGTAAAAATTTCCAATCAAAAACAAAGTCTAATACCTTAGAAGATTTGTATTTTTAAGGTAAACATTTTCCCAAACAAAACAAAGCCTAATACCTTAGAAAATTTCGATTTTTGGGTAAACATTTTCCCATCAAAAACAAAGCCTAATACCTTAGAAAATTTGGATTTTTGGGTAAAAAATTTCCAATCAAAAGCAAAGCCTAATACCTTAGAAAATTCGGATTTTTGAGTAAAAAATTTCCAATCAAAAACAAAGCCTAATACCTTAGAAAATTTGGATTTTTGGGTAAAAATTTCCCATCAAAAACAAAGTCTAATACCTTAGAAGATTTGTATTTTTAAGGTAAACATTTTCCCAAACAAAACAAAGCCTAATACCTTAGAAAATTTGGATTTTTGGGTAAACATTTTCCCCTCAAAAACAAAGCCTAACACCTTAGAAAATTTCGATTTTTGGGTAAAAAATTTCCAATCAAAAACAAAGCCTAATACCTTAGAAAATTTGTATTTTTAAGATAAACATTTTCCCAACCAAAACAAAGCCTAATTCCTTAGAAAATTTGGATTTTTGGGTAACAAATTTCCAATCAAAAACAAAGACTAATTCCTTAGAAAATTTGGATTTTTGGGTAAAAAATTTCCAATCAAAAACAAAGCCTAATACCTTAGAAAATTTGGATTTTTGGGCAAAAAATTTCCAATCAAAAACAAAGCCTAATACTTTAGAAAATTTGGATTTTTGGGTAAAAAATTTCCAATCAAAAGCAAAGCCTAATATCTTAGAAAATTTGGATTTTTGGTAAACATTATCCCATCAAAAACAAAGCCTAATACCTTAAAAAATTTGGATTTTTGAGTAAAAAATTTCCAATCAAAAACAAAGCCTAATACCTTAGAAAATCTGGATTTTTGGGTAAAAAATTTCCAATCAAAAACAAAGCCTAATACCTTAGAAAACTTGGATTTTTGGGTAAAAAATTTCCAATCAAAAACAAATCCTAATACCTTAGAAAATTTGGATTTTTGGGTAAACATTTTCCCATCAAAAACAAAGCCTAATACCTTAGAAAATGTGGATTTTTGGGTAAAAAATTTCCAATCAAAAACAAAGCCTAATACCTTAGAAAATTTGGATTTTTTGGTAAACATTTTCCCATCAAAAACAAACCTGATACCTTAGAAAATTTGGATTTTTGAGTAAAAAATTTCCAATCAAAAACAAAGCCTAATACCTTAGAAAATCTGGATTTTTGGGTAAAAAATTTCCAATCAAAAACAAAGCCTAATACCTTAGAAAACTTGGATTTTTGGGTAAAAAATTTCCAATCAAAAACAAATCCTAATACCTTAGAAAATTTGATTTTTGGGTAAACATTTTCCTATCAAAAACAAGGCCTAATACCTTAGAAAATTTGGATTTTTGGGTAAAGTTTTTCCCATCAAAAACAAAGCCTAATACCTTAGAAAATTTGCATTTTGGGCTGAAAGATTTTCTCGTCAAAAACAAAGCCTAATACCTTAGAAAATTTGGATTTTTGGGTAAAAAATTTCCAATCAAAAACAAAGCCTAATACCTTAGAAAATTTGGATTTTTGGGTAAAAAATTTCCAATCAAAAACAAAGCCTAATACCTTAGAAAATTTGGCTTTTTGGGTAAAAAATTTCTAATCAAAAAGAAAGCCTAATACCTTAGAAAACTTGGATTTTTGGGTAAAAAATTTCCAATCAAAAACAAAGCCTAATACCTTAGAAAATTTGGATTTTTGGGTGAACACTTTCCTCTTCAAAATCAAAGTCTAATACTTTAAAAAAAATTGCATTTTGGGCTGAAAGATTTTGTCATCAAAAACAAAGCCTAATACCTTAGAAAACTTGGATTTTTGGGTAAAAAATTTCCAATCAAAAACAAAGCCTTATACCTTAGAAAATTTGGATTTTTGGGTAAAAATTTCCAATCAAAAACAAATTCTAATACCTTAGAAAATTTGTATTTTTAAGGTAAACATTTTCCCAAACAAAACAAAGCCTAATACCTTAGAAAATTTGGATTTTTGGGTAAACATTTTCCC